AAAAAAAAAAAAAAAAAAAAACGCAGCTTGAAATGAGAAGAAATAAAAACAAAGATGGAAGTAAATACGATAAATGGAAAGGCAAAGAAGGAATATCACGGTCCGTGGAAAAAGGTTGATTAAAAGAAAAGAGAATTAAAATCAGAGTCAAAAATAAAAAAGAAAAAAAAAAAGAATTCTAGCTTGGCGCACGGTTCATTTGAGGAAGAGGTAGGAGGATATTCATTTGTCTTCCGTAGAACGTAACTTGTGTTTAGTCTTGATTCAAGATGCCAACATAACCAAGCCTTCGAACATTTTGGAAAGCATAATAATTGTCTTCCAAAATCATGACTTCCTCAAGAAAATTTCTCTATTCTTTCGTTTTCGTAGGGCTAATTTCTTAAGTTGAAGAATTCGTTAATCAGGAGAAGAAAGATCATCATTTTGTTGACAGCTTTTGTCCGAAATTTTTAATGTTTTGTGAAAATTAGAATCAGTATCTATATTATCCAAATTACGATATATAAATTATTCCTTTCTGTATGTTTATCTCGATATAATTTTGATGAATATCAAATATCATACTACGCTTTCTTTAATTTTTTTCCTTCTGTTTTATTGATATGACTTTAGATTATAATCAGATTGATTCATAAGCGTTACTTTTGAAATTTCGATCTCTCTTCCTCATCAAAGAGAAACACAGAATAATTTTCATTGCACTTGAAAATTCTTACTTTCTCAAATTCTTAAATTCTGAAATTATTATTATTGCCGACTATATATATATATATTGCTTTATATAGTTGATAGTATATCAGGTATAACAGGTATATCATTTCGCTTTCATATATTGCGTCATTTTTCATATTCCATAGTTTTATAGATTCAGAGATAAAAAACAGACTCAGCATCTAGCGCTAAGGACAGTTCCGACATTTCTCTATAATGTTTGCTCTTCATTTTCTAAATTATCAAGGTATCAACAAATTTTTTCCTATGCATATTATATTCGAAATAACAGCTTGAAAATATAAAATATAATAATTTCGAAACATTTTCACAATTGTTCTTCCTGTCTAGTTCTTTCTTGCATTTTATCTTGCGAAGGCATGCAAATGTATAGTTTATCAATGCCCATGCAAACAATTATAAAAATTGAATGCAATTTGAAAAAACCACACAAACTTATTTCTTTCATTCTGGTAGTTAATTCGACTGGCAGTGAAAAGAATAAAGAAGATGATTGGTGAAATGTAACATTTAATTCTTACAATAAAATGTGGCGCGCAGTTGATTTTCCACGCGTTCTTTTTATAGCGTGCCATTTCTCACGACGTGGAAGGGCATGTGTCGAATATAATACGACCAATAAAACGATGCAACTTGACTGCAATATGATTAATTGATGCACATTAATTGATGACTCACCAACTGTTTTAATAAACTTGTACCTATGTCATATGATATATTCCAACGAATGCCTTTGCCCTTCACGCTTTATTAATTTCTTCTAGGCTAATTTTTTCATATCACACCAATTGACCTTCGAAGCGTTTTAATTTCATTTGGTTTATTATTATCCTAGAGCTCGGCTCTTTCTGTTTTCTTTCCTTGTTTCTTCCATGTTTCGTCTTGTCCATCATTTTTTCCCCAAACAGTTCCTACTTCTTTTCGTCCTTGAACGCGACAGTTTTTCGAGCTTATCTACGTGCCACTCATTCGTTTCAGTTCTCTAGTAACTTCACACACATACTTTGATTGTTATACAAGATCGTTTTATCCGTCCTTAAGTCGATCTTTCAAATTCTCTGTTTTGCCTTCATCCGTGCTTCGCAATCCTGACATTCATTTTTACTGCTCGCGCATACGCTCTTTTTTTCTTTCTCATTTATCCTTCTTTCGAGCTTGAGCGTTTTCTTTTTCATTTATTCCTCTTTTGAGCTGGAGCGTTACATTTTTAAACACATTCGTAAAAGAGTAAAATATACGCGTCTTTCTTGCTGATCGATCTCCTGTAGAGATGCAGATCATAGTATAATTTTCAGGAAATTTTTTTTCGAAGGAAATGCATTTTTCATTTGCTTAATTAACTAATGAAATCTGACGCAATTCGATTTAGTTTGAAAACGCTTTTTTAATCAGCAAAAGAAAAAAAGAAGAAAAATTATATCAGAAATTAATATCAAAGATGGAACTCGTAAACTCGTATTATGGACTCGTAAATATTCGTTATGATTAACACTGCGAAAAAGTAACAATCGCTTTCTAACGAATCCGAGGCCAGCTATCCAGGAGTTCGGGTATTAGTATTCCAAGTAACTTTTGTTTCGTCGGTTCTACGTTGCAATATTAATAATTAAGAAATAAAAAAAAAAAGAAAAAAAAATAAAGCTTTTGCGTTTCAGCGAATTAGTTTCAGCGTGTTACTGTGTTAGCCAGTAGACGGTCTTTACTTGGTAAGTACGACGTGTTTAGATCTTTGCTGCAGAAAAGAGTCTCGAAAGGAAGTCAAAGTGAGCTGATATGCAAAAATTTTTGCGACGAACGAAAATGATCCGAGTTAAAGAATTTCTGACAGATCATGAACATGGACAAGCGGTTTACGCATATGAGTATCAACGTGGAATCATCAACTCACGATACGAATTGGTATCTTGAACCGCATTAAAGCTTACGAATTAACTCGAAAGTTGTAAACGCTTGGTGAGCGATATGACACGATACGACTTTCTTCAACATTTCCATTGACTTTTTCACTGTAGAAGTATAGAACAGCTCAAAAGAATCTCGACGAGGACTAGCAGTCGTCTTGAGTGGAAGAAGAGTGTAAAAGTGCTGCCACACGCTCCGAGAAGTCTCCTGAAGCTGCTCCAGAACACTGAAACAGAAGCGACGAATAACGAACTATTAAATACAGCGCTTTCGATATATTAAACAATTATATAAGATATTTTTTATATATAAAATTTACTTTATATTTATCATAGATCGATTACCCAAATAAAATTTGAGAAATCAATTCAATCGCAGATTCAAGCGCTTTTGGAGTGACAAGAACTACTACTTATTTTATCAGCTTAGAATTCAAAATCTTAATCGAAGAAGCTATGAATTGATTATAAATATTAACAACATAGTTAAAGATATCAAGGGATTCTGGAAATTTGTGGAGGGTTAGGTCTACCTTTCACTATGTCATACAATGATATTGAACTAAAATTATTGATACAGATAATTTCTTCATAGATCACTTCGGATCGAAATAATACTATTTTATTATTCTATTATATGTAATGAAGTGAGCCAATTTAATCACTAACTGATCTGTTGATCTTGTATATTAGCGAAATATTATTTGAAATTGACGATTTAGATCTTTCTAAAAGTAGTAATGATAATGTGCCTGAGCTGTATTTAAAAAAGTGTTTTATTGTCGTTGGAGCATTGTAGATATTAAATATCTTAAATATATTAAATAAATCTCTGCTAATCTAAGCTGTGACATTTTCTCGACGGATTGGAAATCAGAAATTATCACAACAGTTTATAAGTTGGACCATAATTATCAACCAATTATAGACCGATCTCTATTATTAATATGGTAACAAAAATCTTTGAAGCCATTGTTTCTAGGAAGTTGTACTACATCACATTTCTACTACACTCTTTCATCACATTTCATCACATTGAACAGCGTGGTTTTATTTCTAATCGATCAACATCAACAGTATTTACTGTTTTCACATAATTTATTTCTCAGGCCTTAAATAGAGAATAACACATGTGATTTATACGAACTTTAAAACAAGCATTTGATAGAGTAAATCACGCAATTTTGATTGAGATGGCTCTGCGAGTGAAATGGCTTGATTTCATTATACATAGATTATATATAGATTATTAAATGTCAATTTTCAGCTTTTTTAAGTGGTATTTTATTGTTATATCATATGAACTGTTCTTCTTGTTCATTTTCATTTGAAAAATAAGGTAAGTTATGTATAATGTGTATAACTGAATAATTTCAAAAATTTTTTGCATATTCCTTAAACTACAATATAATTTGCCAAAATTTTATTAAAAAGTAAGGAATTTTTCGAAATATAATATGTTAATAGTGTTTAGAGCTTATGGTTATTTTTATAATGAAATATTGTATCATTATAAAAAATACCAATGAGCCATCATTCCCAGACTATCAGATTAGATGGCCCAATTTTTTAGAGGAGAGTTGACCCATGATGAAATTGTATATGATAGTTAGCAAATATTATTTTAGAGGATCATGCTAATTGAATACAATAGAAAATTTAACAATAAAAGATTATAGACAAATAAAAAATTGTTAGATAGTTTAAAGTATCAAAATGTATAAATACGGTATTCCGACTCTTACGTTAAGAAGACGAATGAAAAATAATGATTGTTCAAACAAAATTTTTTTTCATTGCTAGGTTTGGGAAATCAGAAAGAACTTAAAATTCACATCAAAAAACTGCAAAAGTACAGTTTCACGTGAGTGCGTAAGATCTATGGTATTTAACTTGACACAAAAATTGGAGATAAAACATAAATTTAATAAGGAAAAAGGATTAGCTGGATATGATTTGATAAATATGATTTTTAAAACGCCATCCAAATCTCAGTGTCCAAAAATCGAGAGTGTCCAGGCTATGAACAAAATAGAAGTTAACTAATATTTTCAATCGTTGGAGCAGACTTTGTGAAAAAATCTCTTAAACAAATTGAGAAATATATTTAATACGGATAAGATAGACCAAAATTAAAAACCCTTTTTATCTAGGTAATTTGACTTGGACAATCCGGATGAGATTTTTGCATAAGATGTCATATCTTTTGTTTTATAAATCTATAATTATCTTTTAATTTTTTCTTTGTAATATATCTACTTTCACAAATATGTATATATATTTTTAGATATCGATTATATTTAAGATATAATTATTCTTTTAAAAAAAGTGGGCCATCTCCCACTTACTTTCTAATTTACCTTATAGATTTGATTTGCAGAATTTCTATCTTGGACCCATACTTTCCATTTTTTTTATCAACGATATGGATCGTTCAATAATAGTAAATTCTTGTTGACGATTTTAGATTTTTTAAAATCGTCACTAAAATATATCTGGCGTTATTGATACGTTTGTGGTATTGTTGGCTTGAAAAAACTGGATGCTCCATCATTGATATGGAACTTATTGTTAATGTAACCTGATGAGATTTAGCAAATATCGTTTGATATATAAGTATAAATTAATATAAATAATATAAGTTAAATTAATATAAGTTAAATATAAGTAGCCTTCATTTTAATTCGCAACCTGTAATTCGTAAGTTATCTTTTTCAGCGAAGATATTATACACACAGCTGCTGCATCTAGCAGAGTCTTTGTTGCTAGATTTGATCAGCAATTTAAAAATTCTCAAGAACCTTAATCAGATTATATTTTGGCTTAATTGTATCACATTTCGAGTACGCCTCGTTTTCTTGAAATTTTTTTGAGAAATTCTTGAGATTTTTATCGCTACATCGATACATTGTCATTTTGATGATCACAACTATGGATCGCTTTAAATTCTTTTTACTAGAGAAGAAAAGAAAGTTTTTGTTTGAAATTCTCAATAGTAGGGTAGATTGTTAAAGTATAATTGACTCCAATGTCAGTTATAGTTGATTCCAGCACATTTTACAGTTTCTTCTTTTCTATTTAATATGTTTCACATCTGAATTTAACTGGAATAATTCAGTTGTAGAATTATTCTGGTTTGATCATCAATTTAAGAAATCCATTTTTTTGATCGTTTTAGTTTTGACTTCAACATTTAATTTTGTACTAACTTTGTTCTGCATATTATTATTATCATGCGAATATTGTATCAAAGATCGTTTCTCTTTTCATAATTGTTATGTGATTATTATAAAAGGGTTGTGCTTGTTAATAAATTAAATTAAATTATGTTCAAAATTAGCGTCCATTTGAAAAGTAAGTTTAATTCACTTGAAAGTAGAATAGAATTAATCCTTCCTATATAAAAATGATTTGAATTGATATTGATTATCACATATTCATTGAAACATATTCATCATTACATGTACTTTGTACTTTTTACGTTAAAATATTGAATGAATTTGAACAACTGAAGATGGACGAATGGTCAAAACCACTCAAATAACTATCGTGATATTAAAATAGTCGCGGATCTAGAAAATTTTTTGAAAATCTCCTAATTAGTTCGATAACTCGAAAAGTTGGAATGAAAGAAGTTATCCGAATCTCCAAGGATTGAATGAAGTTGGTATATCAGTGGGAAAAGGTGGAGACGGGAGCGGAAGTTTGTCGAAGCTGACGCGTTATACATAGGTGATATTGTTTAAACGGTCCGTCGCATCGGTTCAGAAAAATGCCTGACACCATAAAGCAACGAGTAAAGAAAGCCTTTGGGCTGGCAATGAAAACTTGTGTTTTTTCATTTTTAGCAATGGCTCGGGATCGCTGAAAGCGCAGACGATGCTGATTTCCCAGCGGGTATCGTCCATCTATAAATCTATACCCTGAGGTTGTTTAGTCGAAGCGCACCGGCTTCGCTATGTGTGTGCACGCGTATCTCAACTGTGCTATCGTGTATTTTTCATTTGGTTCGTCCTGCACCCATCCCTAACCCTCCTCTATTTTCTTTTCTACACTCTCTCCTTTTCTCTTCCCTTTACCTTCTCTCTCACCTTTTCCCCTGTCATCCTTGAAAGAAAACTTTTATCTTACGAAACTTTATTTCTTCCAGCCTTGATCGAGAAATTCTCGACAGAGGAAACACGTATTATGTTCCGCGACTGACGATTCATCGATTTCTTCAGAATCGATGCGATCGATAATGCGTCGGATGGCTTTGTAAATATTTCGCATCTGAAATTTTAGTATCTCGTGTGGAAACGGAACGACAGCAAGGCTTTTCGTCGAAGAGAAATTGTGGGGTAACGAAATGTATATAAGAAAAGCGATGACAATCGTGAGTTAGACAATAGTGAGTTAGATACATATATAGAAAAAGTGAGCTTTTCTCTTGTCTCGTTGTACAGATACAATATTTTCAGTGCCACAAAGTATGTTAATAGTTTTAATTAACTTTTTTCAGTCACATTTCTTTGGGAAACTTTTCAAAATTTACATGTACAACGATGAAGCTAATGTAGCGTAATTGAAATTGCGAACAATGAAAGTTTAGGACTAATTGATGATTAAAAAATGACAAGTTGCGTTCCATTTAATCAATTCGTGCTTCACCGCAACGCGTTTCCCGCTTTGACATACATACGATAGTACTACTATACCGGTAGTCGAACAGAAAAGCCTTTCTGCGCTTGCGTTTGAAATCGCGTTTACATTGACATTCGTGTCAAAATTTGCAAAAAACAGCAATTCCCTCTTTTATATAAGATTATTGCTTATTCTTTTATTTTTATTTTATAGTGGTAATAGTTATTGGTCACTATTGCAAATTTATCTCGTTGACGTTTATCTCGACAAGGTATGTACAGATTGGAGGTATCCTAATTGGTGTAAAAATTACAACGGAAAAAGACAAATGCAATAATTTAGAATTTTTTTTTTCCTTGTTGAATGGTATGAATGGTATCTAGAAGGCTAATAATTAGTAAGAATATTTTTTTCAAGGTCATTGACATTTTTTTTTTTTTATATAACTATATTTTTTTTATTTATCGTATTTATTGTATCGTGTAGCTGGTGAAAGAATACGTTCAGATATCTAAAGGACAGGAAAATTTAAGTTTTACGTATTAATTTACCTCTATCGGGATCATAGACCGTGGCCAAGACGCGAAACTCGAGAGCCTTATAA